ACCCTGAGTCCAAAGAATGCACTCTTATCCTGGCTCTTCTTGCTTGGTGGTAATGAAGTCCCCCTCCTCTCTGCTCATGTCTCTCTTTTATATCTCAAAAGAGATTGACTCAAGATACAACCTAATCCTGTAGATTGAGTCCTGCCTCATTAGCATAAATGCCTCTAATCCTGCCTCATTAACATCACAGAGGTTACAACTTCCAGCACATAGGATAATCACACCAGATTACAAAATGGTGGAAACCAACCACGGGACACTGAGAATCATGGCCTAGCCAAGCTGATACACATTTTTAGGGGGACACAATTCAATCCAAAACACAGGGTAAGAAGGGTATCCATGGGGAGATGGGCACGGTGGGGAGCCTACTCTGTGCCGAGAACTGTACTGTGGGTCATTCGTCTTCCGTTTCTCCATGGCTCAGGGAAGAAAAGCCTTCTTTGTAGTGTACTTGCAACTTTTCTGTAAGTTTGAGATTGTTTCAACTTTTTTTTTTTAATTTGGAAAAAAGGTGGGCCCTGCTCTTAGGAAAATTGCAGAGGTAAAGAACTTTTAAACATCACAGTTTTTGCTAACATATCTCAACTGTGTTTCATCGGTCAATACCGTCACATGATTGTATAACTGAAGTAGACAATTCAGTGCTTCCCTTCTGTTCCCACAGCAGCCTGTGCCCACTCTGTTACAGAGAGTTGTTTTTGTTGTTGTGTGCCATTGAGTCAATTTCAACTCATAGTGACCCTACAGGACAGAGCAGAACTGCCCCATAGAGTTTCCAAGGACCAGGTGGTGGATTTGAACTGCGCCACCAGGGCTCCATTAGAGAAAGCGGCACCTCTAGTTAGTAATAACTAGTTTAGTCTAAGGTGTCCCCTCTGCTCCCCAACCAAACCAGTTAACTCTTTAGGGCAAGGCCTGGGCTGTATTCATGTTTGTATCTTCCACTCCTAGCACAGTTTGCGTAATAAAGTGTTTGTTGAATTGCTTTAGGCACCAATTCTTCCGCGTTTTCCACTGGGCTGCGGTGAATAGGGTAGGAGAAACAAGGTTGAAGAAATCATAAACGTTGAGGGAAAGTCTGGGTCCTAGGGATATGTTTTCTTATGACTGGTGAAAACGCTCTATCTGCCCCTAGGAGATGTTGGACTTCTGTGCCAGGTGGGACCAGGACAGCATGTGAAAGCCTAACCCCAGCCAGAGATGGGGCTGGTGCTGCTGGGCCAGGGGCCAGCCATAGATGGAGTGGATGAGGCAGCACTGGGTTAGTGCAGGCAGCACAGCTGGGCCTGTGGCCCCTACACAGACCCCAGTCTGTCAGCCAGTGTCAGGAGGAAGGCTCAGTTCCCCAGCCAGATCAAGTAGGGTCTTATCTGCAAGGAAAGGAGTGTCAATGTGTGGGGACAGTCATAAGGAGCCACTGAAAAATTTCAAGCAGCGCAGTGACAAAGGAAAGACACTTCGGAGGCTGTGTGAAGGGTGGACTAGGGGAGGTGAGGTTGGAGGGAGTTTATTGGAGGCTGGGAGAAGGCTGGAATTCCTGGGTGGTGCAAACGGTTAAGATACTTTGCTGCTAACCAAAAGTTTGGTGGTTCAAGTCCACCCAGGGGCACCTCAGAAGGCCTGGCCATCTACTCTAAAAAAGCAGCCATTGAAAATCCCACAGAGCACAGTGCTACTCTAACATACACTGAATTGCCATGAGTTGGAGTCAACTCCACGACAACTGTTTTTAACTGATTTATCAAGAAGGTGCTTTGTAAACCAAACCTGGAATAGCAAAACGAGCAGGTCTCTACTGGAACTTGCAGAGGAATACTTTTATAGAATTTGCCCCCTTTACATCTCACGGAAGCAAGTTTTAGAACTTCTTAACCCACTGTTACCAAAAGGAAGCCTGGATGGGTATTAGGGGAAGTTCTTAGTTTTTGAAGCTGACAGAGGCCAGGATACTACAGCTTTCAAAAGCAGCACCAGGGACTGGTACCCATAAGAGGGCTTGCACCCTCATCCTAAATCTGTTCTCTGATTTTGCACAACACACAGCAATCTGGCAGTAATGAATTAGAGCAGAGGTCTGCAGATTTTTTCTGTAAAGGGCCAGACAGTAAATAGCTTAGGCTTTGCAGGCCAAACAATCTCTACTGCAATTACTCAACTCTTGTCGTTGTAGCGTAAAACCGGCAATAGACAATACCTGTCTTAGTGCTGCTCTAACAGAAATACCACAAGTGGATGTCTTTAACAAAGAGAAGTTTATTCTCTCACAGTCCAGCAGGCTACATGTCCAAATTCAGGGCGTCAGCTTCAGGGGAATGCTTTCTCTGTCGGTTCTGGAGGAAGGTCCGTGTCATCAATCTTCCCTTGGTCTGGGAGCTTCTCGGTGTAGGAACCTCAGGTCCAAAGGACGCGCTCTGCTCCCGGCGCTGCTTTCTTGGTGGTTTGAGGTTCCCATGTGTCTCTGCTCGCTTCTCTCTTTTATATCTCAAAAGAGATTGGCTTAAGACACTATCCAATCTTGTAGACCTCATCAGTGTAACTGCTGCTAATCCATCTTATTACATCATAGTGATTGAATTTACAACACATAAGGAAATCACATCAGATTACAAAATGCTACACAATCACACAATACTGGGAATCATGACCTAGCCAAACGGATACACACATTTTTGGGGGGACATAATTCAATCCATGACAATACCTAAAGAAGGTCCAGCGAAACTTTATTTATGGATATTAAAATTTTAATTTCATGTAATTTTCATGTGTCACAAAATATTCTTCTTCTTTTGATTAAAAAAAGTTAAAGATATTAAAAAAAATTCTTAGTTTGCACATCGTACAAAAACAGGTGAAAGGCTTGATCTGGATGGCAGGCCATAGTTTAAAGATTTTAAAAATTTATTTTTGTTGTTGTTGAGAATGTACACAGCAGAACATACACCAATTCAACCATTTCTACATATACAATTCAGTGACATTGATTACATTTTTTCGAGTTGTGCAACTATTCTCACCCTTGAGGCAGTGGAGTCACTAGGACTGGTGTCACCCAGTGTGATGACTCATGGTGTCACCTCCCCCGTACTAATTACCACAATACAGGTATCCCCTGCTTTTCGAAAGTTTACTTTACGCCACTTTGCTTTTACAAAAGACCTACATTACTACCTGTTGTCGATAACTAAAAGAAACCCAAAGAGGATTTTTGCTTTTATGATGAAAGGTGACAAACGGAAATAGCATGCAGCGTGTGTTTTATAGAGAGGTGTTAAAGAGGCAGTGCGCACCCTGAGCGGCGAAAGTGGCGTCACCAAGCTCCTTCCCCGGGAACTACACTCAGCATCTCAGCATCGCGGCCATAGCTTTGAACTGTGACTGTGAGCTTTTGTGCTTTTTCTGGATTTATTTTGGGAATCTGTTAGCAAGATGTGTCCTAAGGTATCCAAAAACCCTAAGAGAGCTTGTAAGGTTTTTATGTGTTATTTGGTATGATTTGGTAGGTTATTTTTCGGGTCTGGAAACGCTCAAAATTTTTTCCCATATACATTAATGTTAATTGCTTCTTCGCTTTACGCCATTTCGGCTTACAGAAGGTTTCATAACAATTCTCTACTTTCAGATAGCAGGGGAAACCTGTATTGTACCTAAAACACCAGAAAATATGCCAAAATCAGCTACTATAAACACACGAGCATCAACTGAAAACAAAAGCGCATGCTTGTAGCGCTTGCAGACGAAACCACGTGATTCTAAGCGTCATTGTAACTGGGTAATAATGACAGCTCTGACCTGAACCCATTGTTGCTGTTGTTGGGCGCTGCGAGTTGGTTTCAACTCACCCTGTGTACAACAGAATGAAACACTGCCTGGTCCTGCGCCATCCTCACAATTGTTGCTATGCTTGAGCCCATTGTTGTAGCCACTGTGTCAATCCATCTCCTTGAGGGTCTTCCTCTTTTTTGCTGACCCTTTACTTTACCAAGCATGATGTCCTTCTCCAGGGACTGATCCCTCCTGATAACATGTCCAAAGTATGCGAGACGAAGTCTCACCAGCCTTGCTTCTAAGGAGCATTCTGGTTGTACTCCTTCCAAGATAGATTTGTTAGTTCTTCTGGCAGTCCATGGTATATTCAATATTCTTTGCCAATACCATAATTCAAAGCCGTCAATTTTTCTTCAGTCTTCCTTATTCATTGTCCAGCTTTTGCATGCATATGAAGCAGTTGAAAATACCATGGCTTGGGTCAGGCACACCTTAGTTCTCAAAGTGACATCTTTGCTTTTTAACACTTTAAAGAGGTGTTTTGCAGCAGATTTGCCCAGTGCAATATGTCGTTTGATTTCTTGACTGCACATTAGAAGGTTCAAAAAGTAAATTAGCATAGTTTCAATCTTGTAGGTATATTGATACTGTAACCTAGCCTTATGAAAAATGTTTTTGTTGTTATAACTAACTACAGGCATATTTTTATAAAAATAAATTTCTATTGAAACACTGCACAAAAATTTTATAGACAGTCATTTTGGCGTCACCTCCTCAGACAGTGTTACCTGGTGCTGTCCACATCCCCGCACCCCCCTAGTGACGCCACTACCTCCAAGACCGTTTGCTTAGTCAGGGCTCTGCCGCTCCCTAGCTCTGTATCCTTGGTCGAGTTATGTCTGTGAACCTCTTGTTCCATGTCTATTTCCTGAGACTGTAGCGTGGTTAATAAGGGATAAAGCGCGTTGAAGTGATTTATAGACCAAGCAGCAATATACCAAACCTGGTCTAAATTTTCCATTTAGCGCCGCCAGTTCCCGACCAGCAGTGGATGCGCAGGCGCGGGAATGGGCGGGCTGAGCCTGCTGATATGGGTGGGGCTGCTCTTAGGGGAGCGCGTGGCCGCGTCACGTGAGGGCTAAGGGCGGTCTGTTGCCCAGGCGACGGTTTCCCAGCTACGTGCTGCAGCCGGACAGGCCTTGGTACACCTGGGTCTAGAAGCCCTGGCCATGGCCCGGCCTACCCGCTTGTCCTTCTCTGTGGGCGACGGGGCGCCTGAAACTGAGAAGAACTCTGGGGAGCCCGAGAACACCTATATTCTGCGGCCCAATTTCCAGCAAAGGCGGGTAGTGGACGGGATGTGGCTGGGGTGACCTGTGGGAGTGCTGGGGCCGGCGGGCCGACCTCGCCCGGGTGGGGCGTCGGGAGTCGAGAGCGCACGGAGGCCCGGCGGGGCGGGAGGGCGAGGAGATGGGGAGAGGGCCCTTCTCCAACATCCCGACTCTTCTGGGCTTCCAGCTGGAGGGGGGCAGCAGAGCACCGGACTCGCTGTTGCAGCGTTATGGCGCCGGGAGGGCCTTAGGCTGGTGCAATGGGATGGATGGCTCTAGAAGAACCAGGAGCCCTGGTGCGACGTGGTTAAAGCGCTTGGCTGCTAACCGGAAGGTCGGTGGTTCGAACCTACCAGCCGCTTCAGGGAAGAAAGATGTGGCAGTCTGCTTCCATAAAGATTTGCAGCTTTGGGAACCCTGTGGAGCAGTTCTGCTCTGTCATGTAGACTGGCTATGAGTCGAAATGGACTTGATGGCCATGGATTTGGTTTGAGTTTTGGTTAGGAGACCCAGAGCATGGGCACAGGGCGAGGAGATGGATGGAATATTGAGAGGCGGGAAACTAGAGGCTTGCATCCATTGCCCTTCAGCCGCCTTTCGAGGGTTACCGTGTGCACACGACACGTTTGTCAGAATGCGCTTACTTCTCAGCAGGGCACAGGCCTGTTAGTATAAAAGTCCTACCCGGGCCCAGAATTAAGGCATACGGTCTAGTGCAGAGGACAGTCCGCTGGGGCTGTAGGATCCATCACCAACGTCATCTTTCCGTGAGAAAAAGATTAAAAACCAAACAAAAAAAGACTTCTCAGCCCCCATCTATTGTTTGAAACCAGATTGTTTGCTGAATCTAACACTTGGTGAGTACTGGAAGCCAGCAGGTTTGGTTATACTGTGATAAGATTTCATGCAGCAGTTTTCCCGTGGGTGAAATGGGCATAGAAAAAGGTATGTTCAGTTACCTGGGGAAAAGATTCTAAATGCACATAAGACAGTGCAGAACAAGATTAACAACAAGTATATGTCATGTAGGAATAATCCTATGAGATTATATATGATTTGTATAAAAAAAAGTTAACATTTTATGGGGATAGAGAAAGCTTAAAGGGATTGCTAAATTTGGTATGCTTGTTACTACATAATTTATATTACATGTGAGAATAAGCAGGCAGTAGAGCAAAGAAGATACTGTTAAAAAGTAATGAGGGGATGTAATTGGTGTCACTCAATTGCACATGTAAAAAACGTTGAAGTGGCAAATGTTGTGTTATATATGTATTTACAACATTTAAAAAAAAAGGAGGGTACATTAGTACTACCAAAATATTAAACCACATTATAAGCTCAAAACGTAAAATATTTGGGTCATCCAGCATATGATAGACAAATCAACTGATAGGATATATAGCCCAGAAAAGGAGTCTGGTGTTGTAATATAGGACCGATACAGGAATGGTAATGGTGTTGTTAGAGTGGTGAAATTAGGGGTGGCTTTTTTCTTTTGCCTGTCTTCATTTATTCAGTAATCTATTCATTATTGAGTGTCTGCTATATGCCAGGACCTGTTTTAGGTAATGGGGACATAGCAGTGAAAATAAAACAGACAAAATTCCCTGCCCTCATGGAGCTTATGTTCTAGCAGAGTAGGATGGTGAACAAGATGAATACATAAGTAAACTATATAGTGTATCAGATCATAACAAGTGCTAGGAAGGGGGATATGAAGTGATGGTGGTGGGAGGGTGGTTTGTGGTTTTAGAGAGGGTGGCCAGGGAAAGTGAGGGAGCTAGCCATGCATGTATAGGGAGGAAGAGCATTTTAGAAAGAAGAAACAGCAAGTACAGAGGCACTAAGGTGTGCACACCTGGTGTTGACAGAGAATGTAGGGAAAGCCAGTAGGAAGAACTGAGAACTGAGTGGAGACACCTAGGGAGAAAGTAGTAGAAATAGTAGAGAGTTTGGGGTAGGAGTACATCATATGGGACTTTACAAGTCGCAGTGAGGACTTTGGCTTTTACTCTGAGTGAGATGGGAGATATTTGGAGTGTTTTGAGTAGAGGGGTTTATGAACTGACATATATTTTAACAGGATCAGTCTGGTTTTGTGTTGAGAACAGGATGTGGGGGCGAAGGCAGATGCAGAGAAGACTTGTTAGGAGGCCATTGTAATCCAGGCAAGAGGTAATGGTAGCTTGAGCAAGGTGGTGGCAGTGGGGTGGTGGTAAGTGGTTGAATTTTAGATTATTTTGAAGGTAGAACCAATAGGATTTGCTCATGAACTGGATGTGGGCTGTGAGAGGAAGAGGCAACAAGACTGACACCAAGGTTTTTGGCTTGAGCAGCTGGAAGAATGGAGTTGCCATTGACTGAAATGGGGAAGACTGAGGGAGGACCTGGTTTTGGAGAGGAGAATATCAGAAGCTCAGTGTTGGAGGTTTTGAGTTGCTTATTAGACATCTAAATGGAATATGTGTTAGATTATGTAGTCTGAAGTTCAGGGCAGAGGTCCAGACTGGAGATATAAATTTGGACTATGACTTGTTTTCTTAATTTGGTTATATTACTTTTATAATAAAAAAAATTCATAAAAGAAGGATTAAATGGTAAAACAAACAAACAAACCGGTTGCTGTTGAGTCAATTCTGAGTCATGGCAGCCCCATGTGTTACAGAGTAGAACTGCTCCATAGGGTTTTCTTGGCTGTAATCTTTAGGGAAGCAGATTGCCAGGCCTTTCTTCTGCAGTGCTATTGGGTGACTTTGAACCACCAACCTGTAAGTTAACAGTTGAGTGTGAACTGTTTGTGCCACCCAGGACTAAATGGTACCAGTTACAAAAAGCTGGGGGAAGTTGAGATGGGAAGATAAATTCAGGTTTTGGAGTACTAATTAGATGTTTTCAAATTGTATTATTTAGGTTCAGACCTTCTGTGGTTAAAGACTGTATCCATGCTGTGCTCAAGGAGGAACTGGCAAATGCTGAATATTTTCCAGAAGAAATGCCTCAACTCACAAAACATTTATCAGAAATCATTAAAGATAAATTAAAAGGTAATTGTGGCGATAATTAGAAATGACTTCTTTTCTTCAAACACTCAGTTTTACCCATTATGTCCATCCTTATTTTTAAACAAGGTACTTAAGCTGTGGATTCTATTAGAGACAAATTTCTCTTCAATATCTATAGTCTTCTATAATTATTTGGTGACTTTTGCTCATAGAAGTTTTTTCAGACTGTGAGAAAGAATAAAGATGTGAAATAAAACATAGTAGGGAACCAGTGTCAAAGAAATCCTAGTATTCAGAAAGGCCTAGTATTCAGAATGCCCCCATCATTCTTGTTTTTCCCACCAACCTACCAGTTCCTAGCCTGACATACAGTACCCTTGCAGGCTGACCCCAGTCCATTTCTCCAGCAGAATCCTTAACTACTTGTCTTGCTGAACCTTCCACTCTTGCCAGACTCTTCCATCTGCAGAGCATATCTTATGCTTTTTCTACCCTGTTCTGTCTTTCTCCCCCCTCCCCTGCCTTTTCTTGTTAATAATGTTACACCATCTGAAAAATTTTTCTATATCCTTTCTTAACGATAATATTTTTTGGGGGAGGGAATGTCTTTGTAAAAGTAATACATGTTCATTGTAATAAACCTGGACAATACAGAAAAGTACTCAAAGTTTTTAAAAAACTATGTAAAATTCTATTATCTGAAGATAGTTACTATTTAATATTTCGGTATATTTTCTTCTTTTCCTTAATTTGCTTTAATTTTTAGAAATTAAAAAATATAGAAAAGTACAAAGAAGAAAATAGCAATCCTATGTATTTCTGTCACCCAGAATTAACTACTGTTAGTATGTTAACAGGAGCCCTGGTGGTATGGTGATTAAGAGCTCGGCTGCTAACCAGAAGGTCGGCAGTTTGAATCCACTAGCCACTCCTTGGAAACCCTATGTGGCAGTTCTACTCTGTCCTGTAGGATTGCTATGAGTCGGAATAGACTCGATGGCAGCGGGTTTGGCTTGGGCTTTTTTTAGTATGTTAACAGGAGCCCTGGTGGTGCAGTGGTTAAGCGTTGGGCTGCTAACCAAAATATTGACAGTTTGAACCCACCAGCCACTCTGTGGGAGAAAAGACCTGGCCATCAGCTCCCATAAAGTTTACAGCCTAGGGAACCCTGTGGGGCAGTTCTGCTCTGTCCTATAGGGCCACTATGATTCAGAATCAACTCAACGGCACACAACAACAACAACGATGTTAATATTTTTGTTTTTAGACTTATTTATGAAAATTCAGTGTTAAATTTTTTTGTAAAAAAAAGATACATGCTCATTATAAAGAATTTAAACAGTGTAGAAAAATAAAATTAGAAAAATCATCCCAAATGCTACCACCCACAAATAATCATTAATACTAGATGAACATTATACCAGACCTCTTTTCTATGTTTATATACTGATAAATAAATACATTATTAACAATGGGATGCTGTGGATCTATTTCCCATAGCCATATAAGTATTCATTCTATATTTAAATGGAATTATTGTTCACCATCTAGTCCTTTTTACCATGTTGTTTCCATTGCTGAGTTCTTTATTTTGGTTCAGTTCTTACCTGATGAGATTTTGTTGAGTTTTTCTAGGAAGGGCTCATAAATGCTGTATTCCTTGGGTTCGTTCATGTTTGAGAATATCTGTCTTCTGCCTTTACACTAGAATACATTTTGGATGAATATAATATTGTGAGGTAATAATTTATTTTCTTGAAAACCCTGTAGACTTTTCTTCATTGTTTTGTGGCATTGCATGTTACTCTAGCAAAATCTACCCTGGTGACACAGTGGTTAAGAGCTATGGCTGCTAACCAAAAGGTCCGCAGTTCAAATCCACCATCCGCTCCTTGGAAATCCTATGAGGCAGTTCTCCTTTGTCGTATGGGGTTGCAGTGGGTTGGAATTGACTCAGTGGCAACGGGTAACAAAATTTGAGGCCAGCTTGGTGTTCTTTGCTTAAAGAATCCTATCCTTAACCCTGATGCTCACTAAATAGCTTTTCTAGGGTATGGCTTGGTGTTGAGTATTTTCTTTCAATCTGCAGATTTAATTTTTGCTTCATATTGGGGAAGTTTTCTTATATCTCTCAATACATTTCCTGTTTGATTTGTTGGATTCTCTTCTTCAGAACACCAAATATTATTTTGAATTATCTTTGCCTTCCATATCTATTAGCTTTTCTTTGCCATAATTTCTTCCTTATTTATTGATATTTACTTGTGATTATCTTAAGCCAGCAATTCAGTTTTCATCTGTGTCTGTTCTGTTTCTTGCCATTTTGAATTTATTAGTTCTGCAATGGCATTGTGTGGGTATTCAGTTTGTTTCCTCGGGCTGTAATCTTCATTTCCATCTCTTTCTGTTGTTTTATAATTGTGATTGCTGAGCTCTTATTTTACTGAATTTGTGAGTTTACGTTCTATACAGGTAGTCCCACACTTAAGACAGGGTTCCATTCCGATGACGACCACATTGTAAATCGGTTCTGACATAAGTTGAATACCTTGTTTTTATTTTTATTTTCATTATCACTGCCTTTTTTATCAGTATCTTTATAAATCCAATCTTTTTTTGCCTTTGGAGATTTGAAATATTACATCTGAGAATGATAACATCAGCAAATTACATGCTGCAACATTATACATAGTACATATTACTAATGAAAAGATGTATTAAAAAAACAAAAACAAAAACAAAAACACGGATGGTCGTTAAGTGTGATTTATCCTAACTCAAATACGTCAAAAGTCGGGGACTACCTGTATTGTGAATCAATTGTGAGGAATGTCTGTTCCTTGATTTATAGTATCTTCTAGGTTGAGTTTTTTGTTTTTTATACAGTATCTTTCTTGTTAATCCTTTTGTTTGTTTATTTGTTATTGGTGTTGCATTTTTATGTATTTCCATTCAGCTTCTTTTTGATTTGCTCTGACCATACATCATAATTGCTCTGATATGGTATCGATGATTTCTTGACTCTCCTCACACTTATCTGAGACTATTTTATTTTTCCCTCAGAACTGTTGCTTGAGGGCCGGGTATTTAATATTCTAGCCATGTTTCTATAGCCTTAGGAACTGGGTAGGGAAAGGAGAAAGTTTCACTGAGCTGTGTACACTGTTTTTTAAGAAATAACTTGGACTCAGTCTTCTTCTGAGATTTTGCTAAGTATCCTGAATTAGGATTCATGTTCCACATGGAAGGGTACTCATAGTTCTCAGGTTGTTTGCCCAATCCTACAGCCTTTACTTTCATCAAAGAGAGTTGACTCTGTTTTAACTTTGCCCATTTCACATGATTTTTTTTGACTGGTTAGAAAAGGGGAAAAATAAGAATGCTCATTCAATTTTCTTCTCTCCAGATTTGGTGTTAGTGAGAATTTTCAGGATTTAGTTGCTTTAGCAGTATAGTTTCTGAGCTGTATAATTTAGCAGCTGAGTTGTGCCGGGCCATCCCAGCGCACTCTAGAATCTTACGTTTCTTTTTCTTGGCTATCTTACAGAACAGCTTACAGTTTCCTGAAGATCCCATGCTCTCATGCCTTTGTATGTGCTATTTCCTTTCATAGGATGGAGAGACATTGGCCTGGTAAATTCCCAGTCGTCCTTCAAGACTCAAAATGGCGTGGGGGTAGTGTCTCACCTCCTCTAACTACACAAGCGGGGAAGAGATTCAAGATCAACAGCCCAAGGCTGATTCTTAGGGGGCGGAGGTCAGATATGCCTCCTCTCTCCACCATCTTTACTAATTCTGACACCAACCGTCCCTCTCACGGCACTCTCTACTTCTGTGCTGGGTTTGATAATTCATTGCAAGGGCCGCACAGAATTCACAGACAATACTCACGATTATGGGGTTTATTAGGGAAGTAACAGGTTACAATACAGGCTCGGGAACACTCAGGATAATTCTTCCATCAGGACAGCCTCTTCCCAGCTGTGCCACAGGCACACCTCTGTCTGGCCAATGCCCTGCTCGGGCCAAGTGTTACAAAGCTCGTTTAGCTCTGCCAATAAGTGTCCAAGGGCACCCCTACTCTGCCAGCAAGCTTCCTGCCCAAAGGCACTCAGCTTTCTTACTCCATGGGCTGGGACGCCCAGCATGCCTTCTCCTGCTGCTGGTCTCTGCTGCCACCGTTTCTCTGGTATCGCTTCTCACCATCTTCAGTGCTACAGCTCTCTCATGGTCTCCTGATTCCAGGAGCTTCTCAGTGCAGGGACCCCAGCTCCAAAAGACGTGCTGGCTCTTCTTCTTTGGTGGTGGTGGGATCCTCTCTCTGCTCTGGAATTGGCTCTCCTTTGAGGCAAAACTGACCAATCCCTTTGGTGGGCCACGGTTGCCTTATTGGCACAGTCCCACCCAGTTACTTGGGCGAGAGTTGCAAAACGATGGCTAGAAAGGCCACACAAAAGCAATCCATTGCACCGCAAAGACTCAGCTCATTTATCACATCCTCCAAGAAGTCTTTTCTGGTCTTCCTTTCTCACTGCCTAGACAAACGGAAAGGATCCCAGCTTTGTGCTCCTGATGTACTGTATACATGCCTTTCTCTGGATTATTATTATATTGCATTTTTCACTTTACTTTTCACATCAGCCTTCTCAACTACTATGAGCTCTTTAAGGCAAGAAGAGTGTCTAATTTGTATCTGTATCTTGAGGGCCTAGCTCAGTACCTGACTTAGAGCAGGAGGAAAAGGAAGGAAGCTAAGGTTTGTTGAGAGAGTACTGTGTATCAGCACTGTTTCAGATGCTTTATATATTATTATATCTTATCTCATATAAGCTCACAGTGCTCCCAAGAGGTAGGTAATGATATTCCCGTTTAACACATGAGGGAGGGGTACTTAAACTGAAAAGTTAAATAACTTGCCTCAGGTTACATACTTAGTAAGTTTACAGTTAGGATTTGTCCTCAAGTCTCTCTGACTCCCAACCTGACCACCATCCTCAACAAGAGCTTGTGGACTAAATGTTTATGTCTGTTTCTAGGAAAATTTGCCTTCAATCAATACTTTTATTACATATTTTCTTAATTTTTCTTTCTAGAAATGGGATTTGACCGGTATAAAATGGTGGTGCAAGTAGTGATTGGCGAACAAAGAGGTGAAGGAGTATTGTGAGTAGTTGCTTGTTCCTTCTTGTTTTTTCATATATGCTTCTTATTAGGTATTCGGCCTCTTGACAGTTCAGCGAGATTGTGTCTGCGAGAATGCAAGAAAAGGACAGTGTAACAAAATGCAGCTGTGGGCTGAAGAGATCCTGGTACTGAACACTAAGGTTTGACAGTCGGGTGAGCTCTGTGGGGTAACTCATTTTTCATAGTATATGTAGGCTGATAAGTCTTTAGGGTTTATGTATATATGCTCCCATAGGCAGTATGGGATTATGTATATATGTTTCCTCCCATATTCCTTGTGGCCTATTTTTGGTCCTACCTCTATGCTACATCAATTTCTTTAAAGTTATCTGAGATCTCCTTATTAGCAAATCCAGTGGCTCTTTCTTAGGTTTTGTTCTTGGCCTTGACTTTTATTTCTTAAAATTGATTCTTTTTGTTGGCCCTGATGTCACTTATCTAACTTGTTTCTCCTCCTGTTTAACTGCTTCTTCTCTTCCCTTCACTGGCTCTTTATCTTCAGCATCCCCAGCTGTGAGCTTTCTTCAAGGCTCAGTTCTTGTTCTGCTCTTAATGATGCTGTTTCTATGAGCCCATTCATTCTCATGACCTCCAACTGTCATTCCTGTGTTGGTGTGTTCAAAATCTGTATTTTCTGTCTTTTCCTATGCCCAAGTGTTAATCCTCTATCTCCCTTTGTAGTCAGTGCTCATACAGTAATTTTCAAGAAGGCACTAAAATATTTGTTGAATCAATCAAAAAAATGCCTTGTGGATATTTTCAGTGAGAATTTTCACTATAGAATGTTACAGCTGAAGAGAGTTTTCTAGTGTCCAAAACACTTGTTTTATAGATGACACTTACGAGGTCCAGCATGATTTGTCCAGAATTATCTATCTGCTCAGTTTCAGGGCCACTAATAGAGCTCAGTCTTCTGACTCCCAGCATAGTACTCTTTCTCTTCACCATACCTTCCTCTGCCGTTTGGTCAAAGGCTTCAGGAAATTCCCTCTGTGACCACAAAGAGATTAAGAAATACTTTACTGTACTATTCTGTCACTTCAAATTCAACATGCCCAAATAGCTTCTTTTCCCTTCCTTCTCCTTAAATGAGCCTCTCATTTTAATTTCCCTGTTTCTCACACTGTTACCAAACTTCCATTAACTCTAGCTTAAAGCCTTGGTGCCATCTTTTATTTTACTTAACCATTATTCTCTCTTTAATTGCATGCACCATAATCTCGATGCCAGGATTACTTTGCAGCCCCTTATCAGCACTTCCTGACTTCTAATCTCTCTCCTTTACAATTCGTCTTGCATACTAGACCAATCTTGCTGAAATACATTTCACTCTCTCTCCATAAACTCTATAGAGTGTCTTATTTCAGACCCTGTCAAATATAAGCTCCTTAAACCAAGTGTAGTGGTTAACCGCTCGTCTGCTAATCAAAGGTCGGCAGTTCGAATCTACCAGCTGCTCCTTGGAAACCCCATGGGGGCAGTTCTACTCTATCCTATAGGGTCTCTATGAGTCAGAATTGACTTGACGGCAACAGGGTTTTTTTGTTTAAACCAGCTGAACTTTGTTAAATGTGCTCAGGACAAACTTGAAAGCATGGCATAAAAATCCTTTCCATTTTTTTTTTTTAAACTTTTATTATCTAAAATTCCAAGCATATGCAAAATTGGAGGGACTAAAGAACTCCATGTCTTTATCACTTAGCTTCAGTAGTTACCAGCTCATAGCATGTTGTTTCATTTATACCCTCACCTACTCTCTGCCCTCACCAGATTCTGAAGCAAATTCCAGTCATCGTACCATCTTGTCTGTGAATACAATAGTATGTATTGCTAAAAGATAAGGCCTCATTTTTTTTATTGTGATGAAGTATAACAAAACATTTGCAATGTCAACCATTTTTGCATATACAATTCAGTGACATTAATTATGTTCACCATGTTGTGCAGCCATCACCACTTCATTTCCAAATTTTTATAAGGACTCTTTTTTTTTTTTTTTGATTTTGGAGTTTTTTTGTGTGTCTGTGCTTTAAGTGAAAGTTTACAATTGAAGTTAGTTCTGCATACAAAAACTTATACATACATTGTTATGTGACCTTACTTGCTCTCTCTATACTGTGACAGCACACTCTTCCTTTCCACCCCGGATTTCCTGTGTCCATTCAACCAGCTCCTGACCCTCTCTGCCTTCTCATCTCACCTCTGGACAGGAGCTGCCCATTTAGTCTTATGTATGTACTTGAGCTAAAAAGCACACTCTTCACGAATATAGTTTTATGTCTTATAGTCGGTCTCAGGAATGGTTTCAGTCCTGGGCAAACAGAGTCCAGGGGCCATGTCTTCCAGGGTCCCTCCAGTCTCAATTAAACCATTAAATCTAGACTTTTTACTAGAGTTTGAGTTCTGCACCCTACTTTTCTCCTGCTCTGTTAGGGACTCTCTGTTGTGTTCCTTTTCAGGGAGGTCGTTGTGGTAGCCGGGCACCATCTAGTTCTTCTGGTCTCAGGCTGATGAAGTATAAGGACTCTTTTTTTTTTTTTTTTAAATTGTTGTAGTTTAAATGAAGTTTACATTTCAAGTTAGTCTCCCATACAAAAATTTATACATACATGTTATATGACCCTAATTGCTCTCCCCATACTCTGACAGCACACTCCTCCTTTCCACCCCTGATTCCCCATGTCCATTCAGCCAGCTCCTAACCCTCTCTGCCTTCTCATCTCACCTCTGGACAGAAGCTACCTGTTTAGTCTTCTGTACTACTTGAGCTGAGAGGCACACTCCTTATGAGTATCACTTTATGTCCCACTGTCCAGTCCAATCCCTGTCTGAAGAGTTGGCCTCAGAAATTGTTTTTAATTCTGGGCTGGTAGAGAGTCCGGGGGCCATGCTTTCCAGGATTCCTCCAGTCTCAGTCAGATCATTAAGTCTGGTCTTCTTACTAGACTTTGAGTTCTGCATCCCACCTTTCTCCTGCTCCGTCAGGGACTCTGTGTTGTGTTCCCTGTCAGGGTGGTCATTGGTGGTAGCTGGGCACCATCTAGTTGTTCTGGTCACAGGCTGATCAAGTCTCTGGTTTATGTGGCCCTTTCTGTCTCTCGGGCTGATACTTTCCTTGTGTCTTTGGTGTTCTTCATTCTCCTTTACTCCAGGTGGTTGGGACCAATTGATACATCTTAGATGGCTGCTTGCAAGCTTTTAAGACCCCAGACACCACTCACCAAAGTAGGATGCAGAACATTTTCTTAATAAGCTTTGTTAAGCCAGTTGACCTAGATGCATGGTCCTGAAAAAGCATGGTCCCCAGATCCCTACCCCTGCTACTCTGTCCCTCAAAGTGTTTGATTGTATTCAGGAAACTTCTTAGCTTTGGTTTAGTCCAGTTGTGCTGACTTCCCCGGTAGTGTGTGCTGTCCTTCCCTTCACCTAAGATAATACTTGTCTACTGTCTAGTTAGTGAATAATCTCACCCTCCCTCCCTATCCTCGTAACCATCAAAGAATGTTGTCTCCTGTGTTTAAACCTTTTCTTGACTTATTATAATAGTGGTCTTATACAATATTTGTCCTTCTGTGACTGACTAAATTCACTCAGCATAATGCCCTCTGGCTTCCTCTATGTTATAAGATGTTTTACGGCTTCATCGTTGTTCTTTATCATTGCATAGTATTCCATTGTGTGGATATACCGTAATTTGTTTATCCATTCGTCCGTTGATGGGCACCTAGGTTGTTTCCATCTTTTTGCTATCGTGAACAGTGCTGCAATGAACATGGGTGTGCATATATCTATTTGTTTGGCAGCTCTTATTTTTGTAGGATATATTCCAAGGAGCGGGATAGCTGGATTGTATGGTACTTATATTTCTAGCTTTTTGAGGAAGCACCAAATCGATTTCGAAAGTAGTTGTACCATTTTCATTCCCATCAACAGCTTATAAGTGTTCCAGTCTCTCCACAACCTCACCAGCATTTATTATTTTGTGGTTTTTGGATTAATGCTAATCTTGTTGGAGTGAGATGGTATCTCATTGTAGTTTTGATCTGCATTTCTCTAATGGCTAATGATCGCGAGCATTTCTTCATGTGTCTGTTAGCTGCCTGAATATCTTCTTCGACGAAGTGCGTGTTCATATCCTTTGCCCATTTTTTAATTGGGTTATTTGTCTTTTTGTTGTTGAGGTTTTGCAATATCTTGTAGATTTTAGAGATTAGATGCTGATCGGATTTGTCGTAGCCAAAAATTTTTTCCCAGTCTGTAGGTTGTCTTTTTACTCTTTAGGTGAAGTTTTTGGATGAGCATAAGTGTTTTGATTTTTAGGAGCTCGCATTTATCTAGTCTCTCTTCTGGTGCTTGTGCATTGTTACTTATGGTTCGTATTGTGTTCATGCCATGTATTAGGGCTCCTAGCGTTGTCCCTATTTTTTCTTCCATGATCTTTATCGTTTTTGATTTTATATTTAAGTCTTTGATCCATTTTGAGTTAGTTTTTGTGCATGGTGTGAGATATGGGTCTTGTTTCAGTTTTTTGCAGATGGATATCCAGTTATGCCAGTACCATTTGTTTTAAGAAACTGTCTTTTTCCCAGTTAACGGGCTTTGGGCCTTTGTCAGATATCAGCTGCTCATAGGTAGATGAATTTATGTCTGGATTCTCAATTCTGTTCCATTGGTCTATGTATCTGTTGTTGTACCAGTTCCAGGCTGTTTTGACTACTGTGGTGGTATAATAGGTTCTAACGTTGGGTAGTGTGAACCCTCCCTCTTTGTTCTTCTTGAGTAATGCTTTACTTATTGGAGCCTCTTCCTTTTCCATATGAAGTTGGTGATTTGTTTCTCCATCTCATTAAAAAATACTGGTGGAATTTGGTTCAGGATTGCATTGTATCTGTAGATCGCTTTGGGTAGAATTGACATTTTCACAATGTTCAGTCTTCCTATCCATGAGCAAGGTATGTTTTTCCACTTACGCAGATCTCTTTTGGTTTCTTGCAGTAGTGTCTTGTAGTTTTCATTGTATAGATCTTTTAGGTCTCTGGTTAGATTTATTCCTAAGTATTGTATCTTATTGGGGGCTATTATAAATGGTATTGATTTGGTGGTTTCCTCTTCGAGGTTCTTTTTGTTGGTGTAGAGGAATCCAACTGATTTTCGTATGTTTATCTTGTATTAAGGACTCTTTTTAACAATAAAATAACATCACATCTAAAATATTGTCAATCATTAATGTAATAAAATATCCACTTAGTATTCACATATCTCCCAGTTGTCTCATATCTAATGTATATATATTGTGTGTATGTATATAAATATATATATATATATTTTTTTTTACAATTTGTTGGCTAAAATTAGGATCCATACAAAGTCCACACATTGCATTTGGCTGATACGTCTCCTAAATTTCTTTTACTCTATCATTTTTCCTTCTTCTTTTCTCTCTCTTCTCTTCCTCTCCTCTTTTTTTCAATATAGCATCAACTCTAAATTATCTTGTTCTTCTGATTTGTTAATACTTTTTCACTAATTAAATTGGGAATTATTTGAGAAGTGGGGCCAGATTTTAATCTTTCTGGACATATGGTAGTTGCTAAATAAATACTTGTTGATTGATCAGTTAAGTAGATAATTTCATTTCCTATTGTTATTGCTGCACTTTGGAAATAGGTGGAACTGTCCTGATTAAGAATATGTGAAACATTAGGCTGCAGAGAGCTCTTCTATGTAAAATAAAAGAAAAAACTTAAAAAATGAGCTAATATAATATGGTATATGTGTATCTTTCTGTGTGGGCTTGAATTGCCTGGGTTCAAAGCCAAGCTTTGTCGCTCACTAGTAAGAACGTATCAAGGGCAACTTTTGCTCATGACAGATATGTGTAGTTCAGGTCCTTGTTATGTCATTGATGATGATGATTCTTCTTTTACTTTTTAGCATGGCTGCTCGCTGTTTCTGGGATGCTGACACAGACAACTACATTCATGATGTTTTCATGAATGTAAGTTTATTTGGAATCTTTTTTTTTTATTTTTTACCTTTCTAAGAAAATGTGGGCATTTCAAATAAATTACTCAGTGTTTATTAAGATACAAAGATACTTCAGTGTTAGACATTCGTCTTAAGACTCTTTCTGGGTGAGCTGATTTTACCATTGCTTTTTCGTGTGACTAAAGCAGAAACTTAGGGAGACCTGTGTGTATACAGACGATGTAAGTCTTCACAGGTCTGGATTTGGGAATAGCATGTTATTATTTAGAGCTAACAGACATACGGCAGTTTGCTAAGCAGCCAAGAAATTTGGGTGGCAGGGATTCCATGAGCAAAGTTGATTTTTCTTTCAGAAATAAAATTCATTACTTTATCTCAAAGCCATTTCTGAAAACTGAGAAAAATAAAGAGGAATCTTGAAAAAGTGGTTTCATTGAAACATTGGCAAGATATTGCCACAGTGTACTATATATTTTAATCATATATTATTACTTTATTCTTTCTCTCAGAAATGATCCCATCCTCTATCCAGATGCTCCCAAATGTGAATTAGTAGTCTCAGAATTAAAATAGAGTTGAACAGAAGCTGGATTGAGTGATCTGAGAGAGAGGGATTCCATCTCTAGCTCTGTCACTTTCTAACTGAATGACTTCAGGGAAGTCATTGGACCTTTTTGGGTCTCCAACTGCATGAGTTACATAGGAAGCTGTAGTAGATCTCTCCAAAGACTGGCTGTGGCTACCTAAGAATAATCTGTGGAACTTGTTTAAAATAAAGATGCTGGGGCCCTACTTAGGTAGATTCTGATCAAATAAGCCAAATCAGTGAATCTGAATTTTTAAAACGTTCCCCCCATGATGCTACTGTACTGCCAGGTTTGGAAGTGGATTGTTTAGATGATCTCCAGGTACCTTTTAAACTGTGGTCCTACCAAAGTTTCATTTTATACTCAACTACTCTGTGGATCAAGGCCTGAACAGTGGGAAGTATCATGCAAATCTTCATTTATTAGCTCTCTTTGGAGGAAGGATCATGCTGAGGTGATGGCTTTTCTGCTTCTTGGAGTTAAAAATACGCGTTTCCCTGAGTTCTTATATGATACATTCATTCAACAAATAATTCTGAGCTCCTGTTACATGCCAGCCTCTGTTTTCAAGGTGCTAGGGATGAAATGATACAACTGACGTGGCTTCTGCCTTCAGAGAGTTTATAATCCAGTGAGGGGTAGACAGTACTCAAATGAACAAATATGTAATTAAGAACTTGAGTTATCAATTATTACTCTAATAAGGATTATCATGATTAGGTTTTAGAACACAGGATTGCTGGGGGAGGTGGCTAAAAATCATTTTTCAGGTTTAGGTTGCTGAAAGTCTATCTTTAGCCCAGTGTGTTGAGTTGGATGTTTATTAAGATTTCATTTTCAGAGCTTATAGCACTTGGCCCATGTGGGAGAAGATCCCAGGAAGCACTAGAAAATGCAACAGGGAAGGGAAAAGCAGACGCCATTGAACAGATGGCTGCTGTGGGTAACCGGGGCTCAGGCCCGCTGGGAACTCTGGGAGGCACTGGAGAACAGTGTCCCTCAGAATGTGGTCCACAGACCAGTGCCAGTCCGTCAACTGTTTGCTGCAGGTCCATGTACCTAAAAGTCCATAAATTGAGTATAAGGGTTTAGAAACTTTTATAGCAATTTGACAGAGTAATTTTATGCCCAGTGAATCTAATAATAAAAAGTTTGGGCTGTATTTTGTATGGTTCTTTTTTCATTTTCCTAGTACTTAATTTTTATTCTATTTTACAAAAGTATCAGTCCATGAGAGATTGGGCATGACAAAACAAAACAAAATACGTCCTTCACCACAGATACCACTGTTGTGGAACACAGCTCAGAGTTGTCCCTGCAAGGAGACAGGGAGCTGAGCTAACCACAGAATTTTACGCTTGTTTAATAATCAGGTTCATGGGCTCCGATTATTTTTCTTCCATCACTACCAGGCTGGAGCTGAGGTTGGTGGGTCAGGAGTTGCTGAGGCTGGTGGAACTCCTGTAATAAATATCTAAAAAGTGTTTTAACAAGTTGAACTGGGATCTGGAAAGCATTTTGAGATTCTGAGCTAAAAGATGGGCAGATGAATTTTATCAGTTAAGAACAAACACCCAGAGACCATTTGCCCCTATCCAGAATTTATGATACGAGGCTGTTTTGTTATCTGTGATACTGTATTTCCTTGAGTTGGGTAATGGTTTTACTCCAAGAAGCTCAGAGCATTTCCTACATTATTTTATTTCTATGACAAATCAGGAAAAACGGAAATACTTATTTTATGAGTATGCATTACATAACACTCATTAGTTTGCATTTTATTTCTGTATTCAAAAAGTTTAATTTTTACCCTACCCTTTTAGCAAGCAATTTTATAGTTACCCTCAGGCAAGCAGCTTTATAGGTATACAGCAGAAACATTTCTTCTCTCTTTTTTTTTTTTAAGGAAAGGGTATTCATTATTAAAAATTGGTGAAGATCTGGGATGGTGTTAATTTCAGCTGCGTGTGCTTCTCCTTGTTCCTTCATTGGTACTAACATTCTGGATGTGTGTGTGTGTGTTTTGCTTATTTTTTTTAGGACAGTTTATTCTGTGTTGTCGCGGCATTTGGCTGTTTCTACTATTGAATCCTTGAAAAGCTGGGAAAAGATAAGACCACGAAGAAATATGAACCTTTTTATATTGTTAAACGTCTTGACAAAATAAAGATATAAGTTGGCAGTCTGGCAAACTGTTAGGTCTTACATTTTTAATGTTTTGATTTTCTTATAATATGTTCTTGTTACATTTGAAAAGTGGAGAAAAAAGTAGGGGAAAACCCATAATTCAATTGCTCAAACATAACCAATGGTAAATATTTTGGTATATTTTCTACTAGTGCTTTTTTATTTATAGGGTTTAAAAACTGTATGCAATTTTGTACCCTGGTTTTTTTTCCTTCTCATACTGTCTTAAACAGTTTTTACATCACTTTATTTGCACTGTGATTTTCATAAGCGTAATTTAATAGTTTCATTTATTGCACTAGGTTATACCACTGGTTATTTTTGCCATTTCCTCATTGAGGGACTACTTATTTCTAATTTTCACTATTATGAATAACACCGAGATGAATTTATTTGTCCATAGCTTTTTTTTCTATATCTTGAATTGTCCTTATCTCTCACTGCAGTGTTTTTGCTTCGCTGTGCCTTACACAGGTTATTAGCTTAAACACCCATCTCTTTTTTTTCCAAGGTTTGTCCACAGTGTCAGGGTCTCAGAGGTCCCAAGTTGTGTATGAAATTAAACCAAACCAAACCTGTTGCCGTCGTGTCGATTCCAACTCATAGCGACCCTATAGGACAGAGTAGAAGTGCCTCGTAGGGTTTCCAAGGCTGAACATCTTTATGGAGCCCGATGCCACATCTTCTTCCCGTGGAACGGCTGGTGGGTTTGAACCCCTGACCTTTTGGTTAGCAGCGGAGCGCTTAACCACCATGCCATCCAGGGCTCCTGTGTATAAAATTAGGCCCCCTTTAAGACTCTCTAAAGTTCTTAAGTTGGCTACTATCCAAACTCCTACTATCTTTGCAGTAACTTTCCCCTTGTTGTTGTATGCTGTCAAGCTGATTCCAACTCATAGAGACCCTATAGGACAGAGTAGAACTGCCCCTTAGGGTTTCCAAGGAGCTCTTAACCACTTCGCCACCAAGGCTTCACTTTCCCCTTAGAGTTTTCTTCTCCAGCTACCTAACCTTATTTGGGAAACCTCAGTCTATCAGCCATGTTCAAACAATTATTTGAAACTCCAAAGGGAAAAGGCCAGAATTTAAATCTTGTTTCTCCCTGGAGGTTCCTGGGCAGATGCGCCAGTTTACCCACTGTTTTAGCCTGGGTTCTCTAGAGGAGCAAAACCAGTGAGGTGTATATATATATAAATACAGAGAGATTTACTTAAAGGAAATGGCTCACGCAATTGTGGGGGCTGGCAAGTCCCAAATCCGTAGGTCGGGCAGCAGGCTGGGGACCTCTACTGGTTCATGGTACTGCAGGGGCTGGCGAACCCCAAATCTGCAGGTCAGGCGGCAGGCTGGAGACTTCTGCCGGCATATGCCCCAGGAACCGGAGGTCAGCTGACAAGTAGAGTGTAGGGCTGAGAGAGTGAGCTTTGCCAAAACATCCATTTGTATCCTGGAGACAGGCCACATCCCCAAGGAAACTCCCCTTTCAACTGATTGGCTGATCACATTGGATCACATCATGGAAGGTCAGATGTACAGTACAGTACATGAAACATCACATTTCAGTACATTATGAAAGAGCACCCAGTCCAGTATCTGCCAAACCACTAGAATCATAGCCTAGTCAAGCTGATACATAATACTGACCATCACATCCACCCTCTTTCTTCTCAGCCACTTTCAAGTCACACATCTAGACCTCCCCCTCAACAAAAATAAAATTAATTAAAAAGTCCATTTACATTCTTCTTCTATAACATTGCCTTACATCTACAGAATCAAAAGGAACCCCTCCAAAGGTTCATTTTAGCAAAGGAAAAAGTTTCTCCTCACCAGACACCCTGTTGCATGTGATTTTCTTCCAGTGGCTTCCCTTGAATCCAGTCCTGCTCAACTAACCCTTATTTGATTCCTGTTGTTAGCTGCCAGTCTGACTCATGGTGACCCAGCGCATAAGCGAATCAGATTGTTGTGATCCATAGCGTTTTCATTGGCTGATTTTTGGAAGTAGATTTCCAGGCCTTTCTTCCTAGTCTCTTGTAGTCTGGAAGCTCTGCTGAAACCTGTTTAGCATCACAGCAACACTACATTGACAGAGTGGTGGATGCTCTCGAGATGCCCGGAATCAAACCCGGGTCTGTGCCTGGAAGGCGTGAATTTTACCATTGAACCACCGTTGCTCTCCAGTTGATTCCTGGGGAGTCATGTTTTTTGTGAGCCAGCCTGGGTCGGAAATAACAACAGGAAGAAAGAGGGTTTGGGCCAGCCACAGATTTTTAGAGGACTTGGTTGGTGGGTGTGAATTCTCTTTACATCAAGGAGGTAACGGTGCCGTGGTGAAGCAATGACAGACGTGAGGTGGTCTTTAGCGGAAAGCGTCTCGGCCATCTGCATAGTGAATGCTCCCGTGCGAGGGCCTGGCATTTCGCTAGGCGGTGGGGATACAGCAGACAAGGACCAAGACGGACCTAGCCCCTCGCTGGGCACAAGAGGAGAGCCGCTGGTTACCACTCCTTGACAAACTGCTAGCGAACATGTATAAAAGTTCATAGCCGTATGCCGCTACGAGGAGGCGTCTTCACTGCACACTATGGTTCCGGATCGAGACTGACCCTTTACCACTTCTCCTGTCCCCTCTGATGCTTGTTTCTGCTCACCCACTTCGTCCCCAGGGTCTCTGTGGAGGCGGAACTACTGTGTCAGGGTCGTAGTTTTCAGGGAAAAGCCGTGGTCGGATGATAAGAGGGCGGGCAGTAGGCGGGACTTCCGGCTCGCTGTTCCGTCAGCTGCCTTTCCCGGGCGTCTCCCCGCAACCTCTTCAACTTCCCTTGTCGGTGACGCGGCGCCAGACCGAAATCCGACGGGACGGGCGCTGGGGGAGCTGAGCTGCAGGTGAGAGAGGATCCGTTGTATGCATATCTTTGCACTCTGAGAGGAGAGACTGTGGGGCTGGGACCTCGAGGGGACTGTAACTGAGGCAGGAGTGGGTCATTCACGGCGAGGGGAGTGTGAGGCAGGGACTGCGAGGCTACTGTGACCGAGGGGCAGTGACAGCGAGGCGACTGTGACCGAGGCGTAGCTGTCTGCGAGGCGTCTCTGACAAAGGAGCAGTGGATGCGAGGGGACTCTGATCTCGGAGAGCATGAGGCAGAGACTGTGAGGGGACTGTGACCGAGGAAGAGGCAATGACTGCAAGGCGACTGTGACTGGGGGGCAATGGCTTCGAGGAGACTGATCGATGGCTAGTGACTCTGAGAGGACTCTGATCTAAGGGAACATGAAGCAGCAGCCGCGATAGGACAGTGACCGGGGGGCAGTAACTTTGAGGGTCTGACTTCAAGAAGAGTGTGGGGTCAGTGCCTGGGGATGGTACTGTGGGGGTTATGGTCGGGCATGGGGTGCAACTGTGGCTGTAACTGGGCAGAGAAAGTCTGTAGTGGAAAAAACACTTGTCTGTGACTTGTCAGACCTGAGTTGAACTACATGGAAGAACTTCTTGTGGCTTGTGGATTTGTCTCACCACGGAGTTAAAACTTCTTCGTTAGTGAATGAGAAGTTTTGACTGATTGTTTTCCAAACTATAGCCCCCATCCTATTATTGGGTTGTACAGTCAATTTAGTGGATGGCACCTGACAGTTTTAAACAAGCGGAATAAGAACAGAAATTATCAGTGTGTTCATGTTAGTATGTGTTGTTTCATGAAACTTTTGTTGCAGTTATGTGTCTTTGAGATGATGATGTAAAATGGATTTCATACATTTCAAAATCTATGTTGTAAAATCTAGTAAAAGAAAAGTTTGAACGACATTGAACCAGGTTATTTTGGAATCTTTCAGGTCTAAAATGTAATGATTCTGTGGTTAGGGGACTGTTTGGAAGTACACAGACGCTATTGGGAAGACTGGATCTGTGGCTGGGGCTCAGGTTCTATCAGGTTGACTTAACTGAATAAGGCTTCCTGAGTGTGACTGGGGTGATTAGTTATCACCGAGGCTGAAACGCAGGAACTCAGTTGGGAGAACCAGAACTTATATTGAAATAGGGACAGTGATATTTATAGAGGCAATTAGAGATTTGTGGTAGGAGACACTGCTAGGAATTGACGTTGAGGAAGGGGAAACTTCCAGGAGGGTGGCAATAAGGCTTGCGAAGGGAACAGAAAATAGAGACAAAACATTCAACCAAGAATAAAATGGGAGTGAGGAGAGTATGACCTTTAGGGTCCCTTTCAATCTTGATAATTCAATGAGTCTCTAAGTACAGAGAATTGTAAGTAAAAAGGTATTAATTGAGAATGGGATAAATAGTGATAAATAGATGTTGACCATCCTGGGGAAGAAAGGTGGACAAAGGGATGACCGAGGAACATCAACTACGGTGACTAGAATGTCACATGATAGAGACTCTACTGTATTTCATTATCCAGCTTGGTGATTTGTGCACTGGCATACGGGGAATGATACCCAGCTAGGGTAATTCAAATGATGTTTTAGCTGCTGGTTTTATTTCCTACACATTCCCTTTCCTGAGGGCTGTTAGTGATACAGATAAAATGAACAAAAGTAAGTTTCACTACCTCCTTCTCTCTGACAGTCCTTTGCAGAAGGTGCTACTGATTGTGCCACTCAATGCTTTTTGAAAAGAGCTAAGAGAAGCTTGGGGTCGTTTTAACTTCTCAGACACTGTATTAATCTGATAACCTAATAGTTGCCTCTACGACTTACACATGTATACACTTTGTGATAGGGGAAGAGAGTTTAAAAAGGTCCTTGAAAGGGAATGAGTTGGGAATGGTGGGGGATGGTCTTTGTTTAGATCAAAAATGGCTAGTTACACCTTTTCCTAGAACATTAAATGTTTACTTGGATTACATTTTATATAACTGAAAGGAATTACTCAGGATGTTCTTTCTAGAACAGAATGTGCTTCAAGGTAACTGGCTACAGAAGAGAAGATACTCAGGCTTGGAGACTGCAGTGCTGCCTCTGGGGTCCTTTTGTGTTTGC